GTAGGGGGTAATACTGTCCTGGCAGAGGGGCTGGGGATTTAGCTCAGCGGCATAAGCATCTGCCTTGCAAGCAGGCAGTCGTGAGTTTCATCCCCGGTACCGATAAAAAAAAAAAAAGACAAAAAAAAAAGTTATAAAAAATACTGTCCTGGCAGGGCCACCCCAGACCTTTATCACAACTTACCCTAGTTTCCAAACATTGAGCTACAGGATTTGTGTTTGCCCTCCTGTCTTCTCCTCTTGCTTTGGTCTATTTCCTTTTTGTCTATATACTTTCCTCTTTTGGAATGAGAATAATTACCCTGTGGCATTGAATGTTGCAAGTATTTAACTTTCTTTGTATTTTTTAAACAAAAGCTCATAGCTGTGAGTTTACCTTGTGTTTCAGAAGAATCTTTTCGCTTGGACTTTTCAGCAGTGCTGGAACTGTTCAGATTTTGGCAATGAGATGAACTAAACAGTTTTTGTATAATAAAATGACCATGAGTCTTTTGGGAGTCAGGGGTACAATATTATGATTTAGACCTAAAATATAATCCAAAGTTTCATGTGTTTGAAAGGTGACTGGATCATAGAAATGCTATCGTCATCAAAGGATTCATCCATTAATGAGTTCAATAGCTGATTGTGCTGTAAGGAGATGGGGCCTGGTAGAAAGTCATTCACTGGAGTGTGACCTAGATGGGTGTATCTTTGTCTCTACTGATTCCCTTCATTCTCTGCTTTCTAGCTTCCAAATGTTGAGTACTTTTCCCTCTGTCGTGCTCCTCAGCCATCTTATTTCTGCTTAGAACCCAGCTTATCACAGAACAAAACAATGAGCCAAAATAAACCTCTTCTCATTTATGTTGTGTTAGATACTGTGTCCAATAGAACTCTTGTACAGTATTTATGGGAATGTAACTTTTATAGTCACAGTGGAAAACATAGAGTTTCTTTTAAAATATTAAAAATAAAACTACAATATAATCTACTAATTATACTGCTGGATATATCCAAAGGAACAGAATATGTTTAATGGATATTTTCACTCCATATTCATTGCAGCATTATTCATAATAGCCAAGATACGGAATAGATGTGAGTATATATTAACAGATAAGTGGATTAAAATGCAGTATATATACACACATAATGAATGGAATATGGTAGAAAGGAGAACGAAATCCTGTAATATGTGAAAATGGGTGAACTTGTAGGACATTATGCTTGGTGAAATAAGCCAGACACAGAAAGACAAGTGTTGTCTGATCTCACACTCATGTAAAATATAATAAATTTGTGTTCCTAGAAGTACAGTGAACAATGATCGGTGAAGTGATGAATATGCTAACTAGATTTATTTAATTGTGGTACATTGTACACATGTATAAAATATCACATTGGCCATTTGCAGACTGCAAGGGGAGAGAATAAGGCCACACCAAGAAGAAAGCCCAGGCTGGGAACCAGTGTCACGCACTGGCTGCTGCCAGAGTGGGGACAGCCTGACCCAAGCTTCTCCCCATGAGTCAGTGGCATTTTCAGACTGTGGTGAGGAGGGGAAGAACAAGGCCATACCAGGAAGTAAGCCCTGCTTGAGAACCAGCACCACTGCTGGAGTGGGGACAGCCAGACCCAAGCTCCTTCTGGCACATGGGCTGGCAAACAAGAGGTACTAGCCTTCCCTCCACCACACCATGAGTGACTGGCTAATCCTGAAAAACAGGGTGTGATGATAGCTATCAAAGTGAAATGCAATTGGATGCCTGTAGTGCTTTGGTGTTTCACTGACCTTGCAAGTCCAGGGCCAGTGGCCTGATAATCTATTCAGAAGATAGTGGTAAACATTGGGGCATCTAGGTGGGATCTCTTTCATAGGGTGGTAGCCACTGTTAATTCCCTATTGTATTGTTTTAGAGCCTTATATAATTTTTATTGCTTTGTTGGGTTGGGTTTTATTTTCTTTTGTTTTGTTTATTTGTGTTAAATCCAATTGCATGACCAGCTATATTATGGTAGCCATTTTGAATTTACTATTGTCTTATTTTAAAGTCCTTTATTGCATCCATTGTTTTGTTCTTACTGTTTCTATTCTATTCTGTTCTATTTGATTTTTACTATGTCCAAAGGTATCTACAGCTATTTTGAAGAAAACAAAAGGCATTATGGTAACTTGTTCATTTCAAATTGTTTTGAAGTCCTGTATCACTTATACTGGTTTATTTTGATTGGTTTTATTCTGTTTTGTATTCTTTGATTTTATCTTTTTTAAGGTAAAAAATAAAATGTTACATTGTACCCATAAATATATGCAAGTATAATTTATCAATAAAATAGTACTAGTAATTATTTTTAAATAAAAATAAACAAAATAGCTCATCAATCATTTTAATTTTATTTCAGTTGAAATGATAATACTGTGGCCATGTTTATTTAATTATTAAATTGAAAACAGTGAAAGAGAGAAATGAAGTTTGAATTATTAAGCAAAAAGGATCCTGAATTTAAGGATTTGGAAAACTTTGTATATACTTCAAAAATTGAAAAAAATCATGTTTGGAAGAGTGTAGCAGACTCTAATCTTTGAATAGATAAGCATGAATGTGAACCTCAGATGCCATGAACTATTGCAGCAAAAGCCAGAAATAGAGATGAGATTATACTAGCAGAAATGCTGTCAACTGAGAATAAAAGTAAGAAAATGGAAGGAAGGAAGGAAGGAAGGAATAATGTCATACTTCTTAGGCATTACAGGACCAGATGATAGAATTATTCAGTTGCAATCATTCTATTCTTTAAGACAAAGAAAAGCTTGTCTTGGTGGCATACATCTGTAATCCTGGCACTCAGGTGGCTAAGGCAGGAGGATCACACGAGTTTGAGACCAACCTGGGCTATATAGTGAGTTCAAGGTCAGTTTAAATTAACCCTTATTAAAACAAACAAACAAACAGCAATAGCAACAAGTGGACAAGAGAAATAGGATTCCAAAGGTGACTCAGAGTTCATCACAGTTATAATCCCACCAAGTGGTCAGAGTACACAGGCTTGGGGGACTGCACAGACATGCCTCTACCAAAACTTCCAGTGTGTAGCAGAACTGTAGTAATGTTGTCAGCTTGGCAGAGCCCTGAAAGCCTGACACCTCTTCAGAAGAGAACACCGGCATGGATGAGGCCCTACAGAAAGCCACGACATTGTTCATTGTCTGCTGATCTGCAGGGAGACATTGCCCACTGAGTGTGTCTGGAAGGTGGATTCTCTGCCTTAGTTGATTTTGAATGAGGAATTGCCAACTCCACGAGTCGGGAAGGTAGAACATCAAGCCAAAGGAGATAATCCTTTAGCCTTATGATTTTCTGCAGGTTGCTTTGCTAGATTTTAGACTTGCTTGGAAACCAAATAAGACTTGGTTGGATTATAAGGGCACTAACCTCAACAATGAGTTAGCTTACTGATGTATTCATGTGCTATTAGTAGCTAGAGCCTAGCTGGAGGAAGTGAGTCATGTAGAAATGAACTTGAAGAATATATCTGGTCCCTGGTCTCTCCATTTATAGTGCTCTTCCCATGTGTCCTGCTTATCAGCTTTCATGAAGTTAACAGCTTTGTTCCACCATGCTCTTCTACCTTGATGATTCTTCTATGGAGTCAGCTGTCATGGACTGAAACCTTTGAAGCCACAAGTCAAAATAAATCTCTATTTAAACTGCAGGTGTCAACTCTTTTCCTCTAGCAACGAGAAAGCTGACTAATAAAATGTCTTTGGAAAGGAAACCTCAAAAAGTGGTCTTTTTTCCTTTCTATAATGTGAGGACACAATGAGAAGTCAGATATCTACAAACCAGGAAATGGGCTGTCATCTGTTATAGAATCTGCCAGTGCTTTGATCTTGGGCTTCTCAGCCTCCAGAAGTATGAGCAATAAATACCTTTAAAGCAATTTTGTCTATGTTATCTTGTTATTGCAGCTTGAACTAAGACATTACTATTGTAGGAACACTAAGGCTATTTTCTCTCCATCTATTGAATCCCTCTCAGTGCAATCCAGAAATAATGTATGTTATATTAATTATTTGTGTATTAATTAAATGAAATTGTGTTAGTCCAGGTGTTTTGTAAACTCTAAAGTACTATCCAAATATGAACATTGAATAAGATTAAGTGACTGAAAAATACATAAACATTTCAAATGAAATATGTCTCTTGTAGTATATACCTAGATGTTCCCCCAAAAGTCTCATGCCTCATAGGTGAGGCTTTTGGAAAGTGGTTAAATTATGGTGGAAGTATAGCTGACTTGATGGTAGGGCAAGATCTAGTTGAAAGAGATGAGTCATTGAGGGAGAGTGATCTGGTAGTGTGTGTCTCCTTCTCCAGCCCCTTGCTTATTTCTCTGCTTCTCTGCCACCATAAACTGAGCAGCTTTTCCTACATTATTCCTAAAGATCTGATATTGCCAGGGAGAAAATAACCATGATAAGCTATGGGGAAGACTGCTCCTTGTTCTTCTGCCCATATTTCTGTAGTGGTAGACAGAAAATAGAGAGGCAAAATTGTGTAGTATTTAAGGACATAAACTTTGAGATGGCACAGCCGGGGTCTAAATCTTTGTTTTGCTATCAAGTAGATATTTCATCTTGGTTTGATTACTTCCTCTTTCTGAATCTTAGTTTTCTTAACTGTTACTATAATCATTTAGTAAACTCAAATAAAAACTGATGATTGCAGCACTCCTAATTTAAGTGGTTCTAAGTTAACTGGTCCCATACATCCTGAATGCCTCATTCACTGGGCATACAGGTGACATTTGAATAGCAAGTGGATGTATACAGAGCTTTCTAAACCATATGATCACCAGACAATAAATCTAAGAGAATTATTGATGTTCATGAATAGTTCCAGATAGGTTTCCTTAAGATAGTTTGTCTATATTTCTTGACCAGATAAATGATCCTTGCTTCCACCTAATGCAATCTTGTATTCATGAGAGTTGTAAGGATTTTCTATTTCCCTTACCTTAAAAATTTCTCCCTGTTGGACAGTTTTTATGATGTTAATCCATTCTTCCATGTCTTTCCTGTTGGATGCCGCCAGGGTGACTTTTCGTTGTGGTGTGATAATCTAAACAGAAAAGTGACAATATTAGTTGTTTCTCACTTCACACAATCTTGCTGCTGCACTCTCTGTGTCTGCAAACTCTCTAAGGAGTTAGACAGATCTACCAAATACAACTCAAGCCACTTCTCATATATAAGATACAGGTCCTGATAGCCACTCACAATTCCTTAGATGCCCATCCAAAACAATAATAAAGATAACAGTAATCATTAAGGCTGTAATGGCACTTCCTATGTCCCAAGAATTATTCTAAGGTACTTGCATTGATCTCTTTCTCATTTCATTAGACAATTTTGCAGGGGTCCATCAGTTGTGCTCAGTACAAGAACCCAGTCAGTCAGAAATACACGGTGAGAGTCTTGCAGATGTAGACCTGGGAATGAACTCAGTGTTTTCTCAAAGGGGAAGACGGAGCATGGATATCTGTGGCATCAGTCATTGTTTCAGTGAGGGTCCTTACTTTTACCACTAGTACCTCAAATCTTGGAGCTAGTGCTCACCACATCAACAAGAAATTTCTTTCCCATTTTGAATGTTGCACAGCATGTTTCTACTGTATATGGGAATGGGAGCTAGCTGGGATTGTGATTGATCACAACCATTCCTTTAGTCTAAATCTATTGGGGCTAAAGAGCAATGCCTCTGTGATTTTCTTAGGCTAAGAGGCAGCCTAGTCCTTGTGATTTCTTTGGAGAATGAAGACCAAAAAAGCCTATAGGTTCATTTAAACTGAAATTTCAGTTTTTGGGGACCAATTAATAGCAACTTCAACTTTGCCTTGGGTCAGGGTCATGCAATGAGAGAAAGTGAAAGCTAGGTCTCCTTGGATCCAGCTGTTCTCCTTTCAAAACAAAATGGAACATGGTCCACACATGGAAGCAGAATGTTAGTCCCATTGTATTCTGTCTGATAAGTACCATACCCTGTTTGAAGAGGACCCTTAGTCTTGATACCCACTGCTGAGATGGGCAAAAGACAGTTTTGAGAGGAGATGGGCAGGAAATTTCCAGGCCAATGGGTTTGGTATTTTTCAGTGAGTTTTCTGGTCTGGATTCATTTGAATGACAAAAGTTACATGTTCTTTCAGGCACACTAAGCTCTTGAACACAGAAAAATCCTCCACTTTCTTTGAGGTACTCTCAGCATTAGGTAAATTTCATTTTGGGTTGAGGTTCTCATTTACATCATCAAAGGAGAAGATATCATGTACTGCAATTATCTCAATTTTTTATGACATAGTAGCAGTCTTTTGAAACCCTCCTCAAGTTATTCTTCTAAACTTCCTTTACTAGGTGAACTACTTTTTGTAATAGTCACATGCCCCCTACCCCACTTTATAGCAGGCTGGTAATAGGGATCAGAGTCACACTCCCTCTTCATAGGTGGGCTTGGTTGAAAACTGTTTGAATGAATAATAACACTTTGGGATTAAAACAGACGTGGGAAAACTGATGTTCAAAGAGAGAACAAGTGGGTATGGCAGCCTATCTCCTCAGCTAGCCTCCACCCCTGTTCATTCAATGATGTCCATTCTTACTTACACAAAAACTGTGGCAAAGATTTCGCCAGCTGGTTTCTGCTAAGACGACCTGAGACAGATCAATTATTTCAAAGTGGACAAACTGGAAAAATATAAGAAGGACAAGAAACCATTTGATTAATGAGGCAAAGAGATAATCAAATGCAATATACACGCATACACTAATAGGTATTTTTGGCAGTTATGATCCAATTAGTTATTTTTCTTGAGGTCTGGAATTTATTTAGCAAAATAATTTTTGTGGACATATCATATAACAAAATTTTAAAAATCCAACTAAACCAAAACAGTAACTTGTTCAAAACTTTTCATAGAAGACTTAGGTTAATTATGCAAATTTTGGAGAAGGTTAATGCTGGAAACTATAATGGAATGTGGTCTAGCTAGGGACCTGATAGTACAGAATGTTATTAGTTTATATCTTATTGGATGGCCAACTTTGACCATGTTGCTTGCATCTTTTTGAGGCCTGTATCCACTTGAACACTGGCCATGGTAGATACTACATATCTAGAAGCAAAAAATCAGTACTCCAATATAGATAGGGGTAGGTTCACCAGTATGCAGTCTGTATAGTCACACAAGATGCCACATTTAGTAGGATTCTATACTTGGTAAAATTCTTAAAGCATTTTATCTTTGAATTTGTGTTTGTGAATGAAGTCTAGGTGAGACAGTGAGTCATGCATATGGAGCAATGGAAATATGCACATATGCAGGTCCAATCAATGCCTTGTCATTCCATTTATATTTGTTATGTCTGTAAACACAGAATTCCAGTGGACGCTCAGTTTTTGAAGTTGAGCAAAATGCAAAATTTTATAAGTGAAGCTGATCAAACAGGGTAACTGACAGCCATGAAAGGCCACACTTTGTGCTGGAATGAGAACTTGCTGAAAAAAGGTAGTATAGTTGTAGGAAATGTGAACAACTAAGGAGCCTTTTTATAGTATTGTTTGTTGCTCATGTTACTTACCTGTGTTGCCTAATCATTGAAAATTCTGGTAGAATGTGCAAGTATCACAGAAATGAAGCAAAAAGAGTTGAGCTAGTTTGTGCAGCTTTGTATACTGGTAAGACCAAAATACATATGCATTTATGAATTAATACAAATTGTATAATTTTGGAGATTCTCCACAGTAGTTAAACAGTTATATTTTCATTTAAAACTATCATGGTACAATGTAAAAATGGAGGATGAAATTATGCTAATTTAGAATTTTATTCTTCCTTTACTTAGAATAGCATTAAATATAAAATTTTAAAATACCATAAACTGTTGCTTTATATTTTTAACATGAATATCTAGCCTTATATGTTAGTTCCTCCAGGGTTTTGTAAAAGAAATCTTGCATTTTTATTTTGCACTGGGGCCCAGATGTAGTTTACTCTGGGTGTTAACTGGGAAAACTATGAAGAAAGAGAAATAGAAAAGAGACATAAGAGAATTGTCCTCCATTTGGCCCAAAGGATAAATTGAAGAGTAGAGAGTTTTAATTTCCACCCTAATGTTTGCTAAAACGTCTTTACCAATTGGCCATCTCCCCCATTCAAACATGTCCTGTTATCCAACAACTGAACTCAGTTGATAAGATTCTATATATTACCGAGGAATGGCGTGCAACGTAAAGTTGTTGTCCTTGAACCATAAAATATCTGAGCTTCCATCTCTTGAGGGAGTGACAGTTCTTCCATAGTGGTCCTTCCTTCAGTATTTTCTGAAAGATAGAAACATAGCCACTGATTAAATTAGATCAGTTTGCAAGACCTTATCACTTGTTCAGTCAGATGGAAAGATATCTCTCACATATCTGAGAAATGGCTCTGGTAGACCAGATAAGTGCCAAGGAAATTAGTTTAATCAGAAAAGGAATTGGTTTTTCTTGTATAACACAGGATTATACACAAATCGAGTTTCTTAGAATCCATGACCCAAGAACCATAGGAAATATCTCCATTTGTGGTAGAAGGTAACACGAAGAAACATAAATACATAAATATAAAAATATAGTGATATCCAGGTTGTTGAATGGCTCTAAGCTCAAACTTTCCACTACTCAAACAGCAAAGTTTAAAAACAATTTGCTTGGATGTTTATAACATATTTGATACTCAAACTGAAAATCTGACATGAAAAACCTGTACAGGTGACAAGGGAGTCACATGTCATGTCTCACCATGGACACAAAGGGTGACGCTTCAGTCTAAGCGTTGCTCTCACCCAGACAACATTTGTACTTCTGTTAGTAAGTTAAAACATTCGTCGCTGTGCTTTTTTCATGCTTCACTTGCATGAAATATCATAATCATAGCTCCAAAGAAAGTTAGTGATGCTGGCAATAAGGCTAAGAGAAAAAATGTGATAACCTCAATAGAGTTAAAGAAAGAAATCATTGCAACATTTGTTAAAGTCCTGGAAAAATAAGTTTATAAGTATAATTTTTGGGCTTCTGGTCACTTATTTGATTTTCCATTATTTCTTATGGGAGAAAATAATATTCACTTCTCAGACTTTTCACCATTGAAACACGAATTTAGAGCAAACTGAGTTCACAACAGAGATATCACTATCATGGTCAATAAAGGCTGATTTTTTCGAATCATCCAGGTGTTGCATTAGACAGGGCCTTCTTGTAAGCTATTTTAGAGTGACTTTTTAAAATACAAAGTTGGATCATGTCCCTTCCCTGCTCACAAACTTCCAACAGATTCCCAACACATTTAGAGTCAAGTATAAATTCCTTATCAGGATATTCAGAAGACTCGTATTCTGGTAAGGGAACAAGCACATAAAAAGATAACCAAAAGACAGTTAACTCTTGGATGGATATATACAATCTGAACAATGAATTTCTACTTACTTCCATAACAGGCTGATCCCACCAAACAATTAAGTACACTATTTTTATCATTGAGGACATTTTCAGCTATGTCATAAGATACAGACTAATATGCAAGACAGCAATTTAGGAGAAATACTCATCACTGTCAAGCTGGCACCAAACTTGTTGACACTGGACAATGAAACAGTTTAAACCGTCAGATAAAGGCTGTGCCATGATTCCTCTCCATCATCTAAATTAGAATTCATTTCTGAGTGGTTATGAAGGTGATTTTTTTTAATGGTCTGTCTACTGTTTTTCAAAAGTTTTAACAAGTTGATGATATTCAAAAGCAGAAATTCCATTAAAATACAAATTTCTTGTTTCTTTGAAACAAATCACAACATCTAGCATCATTAGGCTTACATACTCACAATACAATAATCTGTAGAGCTGCACTTTCAGTTGGGGTGCCTGACTCAAGTAGGCATTGAGTTTGGGACTGTAATCTAAACAATTATTTGTTGCTCTTGTTTCCCATACACATACAAACATCTCTATATTTTGTTCAATTTCTAACCAATTAGATTGTACCAATTGACAAAGCTCCTATACACCATCTGAAAAATCAGTTCATAAGCAATTACAATTTACCTGAACTTTCTTGATAACAACTTTCAAGGTTTCTGTCCCACCCTTGAGATGCAAAGGATGGTGCAAAGGACAAAATGAATAGTAAGACCTTTTGAGAAATAAGGGGTGACAAGGAGATAAATTAGTTTTAACTTTTGTTGAAATTGAGTCATTAATGAGAAAAAAAAAAACCTTTTGTCTGAGCATTAAGAATATATGATTATTTTCCTTTCTCTAATCAGGTGATCCATAATATACAGTTCCAATACTGGCATTTGATTTTCACTCTCCTAATCCTTTTGTTTCTGCCATATACTCGTCCATACTAAGTCTTCATGATACCTAGGAAGTCATATTTATTTCTTTATCTTAAAGACAAATTTAAAAATTTAACTGCTCTATAAATTTTAATCCCACTGTTTCCTCCTCATGTCCAAATTACTGAGCTTTCTATCATTTTTTAATGGGGATCTGGTTAAGTTGCCCAGTCTCATCCTAAATTCCTGGGCTTGAGAGATCCTCCTGATTCAGTTTCCTGAATAACTGGCCCTGCAGCAACATACCACCTTGCCTGACCACCAGCTCTGCAATTTTTTAATTTAGGGTCTCTCTACCTAGTTCAGGCTCTCCTTGAACTTGTTTTGTAGCCCAGACTTCCCTCAAAATCGCTTTTGCATCAGTCTCCCAAGTGCTGGGTATTAGGATTAGGGTTAGTGTGTGCCACCAGGCCCAGATTCTGTCAATTATTAAATACTTATTTTAGTGTTCTTATTTTGTATTATGTCATGCTTTCTGTTCTAGTTTATTTTACAATTTTTGGTAGGACATATCCCTTTTCTTCCATTTTCTGTTTAAAGTCTTGTATCTCAGATTGGCAACATCTACACAACTACATTCTCTTCTGAAAAACATCCATCCTTAAAGAAACTATTTTTCAACCATTGTCACCTGTAGACCAATAAACTAAGATCTCATACTTCACAATCTGTGAATATGATAGCCCAAAAAGAACTCAGATTATAGCTTAGTCAATTACCAAACAGGGAAAGTGATCATCTTTCAAGTTTCCATTTTGTCTGCCTCTAGACCACATCTCTTCAACACATCATTCTGAATAACAATAGATATCTAAAATCCATGCTCAATAAGCCAGCATCCACCCCCAAGGAAGTTCCCACAATTAAGTGACCATTAAAGACAGTAGAAGTATGTAAAAGTGGTCATCTACTGTACTTTATCCTATATAAATTTGAAATAGATTCTGATAAGTTAAAATGTATATTGTAAGTCCTAGAACAACCACAAAGAAAATAACAGTTTGTTTGGATTTCTGAGCTTGCATTGTTTTGCTTAACATGATGATCTCCAGCCCTTATATGAGAAATCTAAAATATAAATAAAGAAAAAAAAGAAGCAAGGAAACTGGATGGTAAACACTTCAAAATGAGAAAGGGACAGAGAAGGGAGAGTATGGTAAAAATATTGAAAATGATCAAGGCATTTTATATTTATGCACACTCCCCCCAAACCATCACTAGACTGTATTATTAATATGCATTAATGAGAGAAAAAACATTTGAACATTATACAACAACCTGCACAACCACTACACACTTACTAAAATGGCTAACACTGATAATACCAAGTGCTGACAAGTGTATGGAGCAACAAGAACTCTCATGCGCTGCTGGAAGGAATACAAAATGGTGACACTAGTTTGGCAGTTTCTTGCAAAAATCAAACATAAAATCCAGCAATAGCAATTCTTAGTATTTACTCAAAATCGTTGAAACCTTACGTCTACACAAAAATCTGTGCACATGTGTTTATACAAGGTTTATTCTTTTTTCAGAGCTAGAAAGTTTTTATTTTTAAACAAAAAATATAATTTATTAAGAACTTAATAGGCAGAAGGGATAGAAGCTCATTCAGCCAGCAACTACACAGGATTCCATATTCAGAGACAAGAGGAAGGGGTATATGTTATGCTAGATGCAGGTATACATGTGGGCTTTGTCAAGAACTATTAACACGTGAGAGGTCAGTTAACAAACAGTATAGGTATAATCAGAACATCATAAACCCAATGAGCAGCACAAGGGAACTTTGAACATGAACCAGATATTCAAGACAATAAGTCTTCAGGACTTCACGGGGTAGAGTTTGGAATGCAAGCCAGAATCATCTGGTGGGCAAGATGGTGGTTATCACTGAGATGCAAAGCTAAAAGTTTCTAAGTTTTCTTTCATTATATGCATTGATATAATTATTTACAAGGTAAATTTTACTTTGGTGTAAAGATTAAACTGGAATTTATGGATCAAATGCTACATATTTTCTTTCTTAAATTTATTTGCTAAATATTTTCAATGTTCCAGTGACTTCTGGTTCTTATTTTCTTGGTGTCCATGATGTCCTTATCCTTCTTTGGATTTTCTGCATGGCACCTCAAATTATTTTTTGCTGAGAGTCATGATCCAAAGTGTTTCCTTTTAGCTGAATTCTAGCCTTTCTGGATCTCAAACTCACAACTTCTGAATTTTTGGTTACTGCTTTTTCTTCTTCACAGGGATATCCACTCTTTTCTCTTTTACCTCCTCCGCTGCTATCTGAGGCTAGGAGTTCTTATTCTGTCTTCCAGATTGCAAGCATATTCTATTTCCCCTGACTTTGTCCTTAGATGTAGGTTTCGCAGCTCCATTGTCTGTATTTTGTTGCTCTGTGTCTTCAGATGTCTTCATGGATTTCTTAGTTGTCAGTCTTGGTGTGTGTGTGTGTGTGTGTGTGTGTGTGTGTGTGTATGTGTGCGTGTGTGTGTGTGTGTGTGAAGATTTGTGACTTTGAAATGTTAGCAACTAAGTTAAATTTTTAAGAAAATCTGAGGGCAAAATGAAACATGTTTACAGTCCCCAGATGGCTCACAAGCACCCAATTTGTAACTTCTGAACTGTAAATACTACCACATCAGAGGAGCTTGCAGTGTGCAAGTTCAGAGATTTGTACATGTACATGTGTTCAGGGTCTTGTATATCTATTACCAAACTGTGAGAAGAAGAATGTTGATGTGCTCTCTCTGTAATAAGGAGAAGGGTTCATCACAGTGTTTCGCAAGGTTTATTTTTTTAAATATTTTTGAGACAGGGTTTCATTATGCTGTTCAATCTGGCCTTGAACTCGCCTTGTAGCCTTGCACAGTGGTCCTCCTACCTCAGCCTCCTGCATGCTGAGATTATAGGTGTGCACTTCTAAGTGTGCCTTCACCG